CAACTTTAAAGCTTTTGATTGATATTGCTAAATTATTTTACAGAAAGTTTAATTGTCCACAGGCAGTATATGAAAATAATTATTTTTGGTGCATTTAAAAATTTCACACTATAATTATCTGTCTCTCTGTTTAGTTCTTTCAATTTTTGCTTTACATGTTTTTCAAACTCTATTATTAAGGGTATGCAAATTTAGAATTATGTCCACCTAGTGGATTGAAACATTTATCATTATGAAATGTCTGTCTTTATCTCTAAAAATTCCTCTTCACATAAGGTCTACTTTGTTATATTTGTGTAGCTACATCATCTCTCTTTTCTTTAGTGTTTGCCTGTTACATCTCTTTACATCCTTTTACTCTCAACCTTTCTGTGTCCTTATATTTTAAATGTCTCTCTTATAAACAGCATATAAAAAGGATAAAGAGATGTGGAAGAAAAGGAAAGGGAGAAAATATAAAGAAAGAAATGGAAAAGAAAAAGAAAGTTAGAGGAAGGGGGGGCCGGCCCCGTGGCTTAGCGGTTAAGTGCGCGCGCTCTGCTGCTGGCGGCCCGGGTTCGGATCCCGGGCGTGCACTGACGCACCGCTTCTCCGGCCATGCTGAGGCGGCGTCCCACATACAGCAACTAGCAGGATGTGCAACTATGATGTACAACTATCTACTGGGCTTTGGGGGGAAGAAAAGGAGGAGGATTGGCAATAGATGTTAGCTCAGAGCCGGTCTTCCTCAGCAAAAAGAGGAGGATTAGCATGGATGTTAGCTCAGGGCTGATCTTCCTCACAAAAAAAAAAAAAAAAGAGGAAGGCAGGGCATCAAGTAATTAATATCAGCTGTAACGTAAAGGCTGTCCATTGGCAAGGCTGTGCCTCCAGAGGCTGTTTTCATTTTTTCTCTGAAGGAGAGATGAAGGAGAAGACAAGGAATGGAAGGGCGATAGGGAGAACATAGAGACAGGGTGGCTGGGGGAGGAGGAGGAGGTAAAACCTCCACACTATAGGTGTTGATTTCTCTGACTGTACTCTAATGTGAATCTTTACGTGTCTTTTTCTCTCTCACAATTTTAGTTTAATGATGAGAAGAAGTTGATGAACTTTCATCAGAATCTTCAGGATATCACAGAAGATCAACTCAGTTTGGCCTCAATCCACTATATGCGATCTCATTACCAAGAAGCTATTGATATTTATAAGCGAATACTGCTAGATAACAGGTCTGTGTTCTTTTATGCTTACTTGAAATCTCATTTTGTTAGTTTCTTCTGTGACTAGTTTGGCTGAGGACCTAGTGTCCTTTCAATCTAGTATCACCATGTGTTCAACTCTGTTTAGCCAATAATCTGGTGAGATTAAGAATTCCTTGTTGTTTAGATCGGAGTTTCTCCATCTTTATTTTATTATCACCCTTCTAAGGAGCTTTTTTAGACTTTTTTTTTCCCCTAATCGCCCTCTCATGAAATTTCAACACCACAGATATACTGTATATCCATTTACGTTCTGTATGTATATCTATGCTTTATACATATAATGAGTACAATTTTCCACCTCCCCAATTTTTGCCCCTTTGGGGCTGATATTGCCCTGTTGAAAATGCATGCTCTAGATGTATCAATTTTAGTGTTGTAGTTACATTGTAGGTAACTTGCTGCCAAAATTAGAAACCATTCTGAAGAATTAACATTCCAACTTTATCGCTAACTACTTGGCCCCTCTCCTCCATCCCCAAAATATCTCCTCCACTTTCCCTCCCCCGCCTTTGCTTTCCCTTCACAGTCTCCCACCCATTCCCGTTCTCAGTTACGGAGTCTCCTTGTCTGTCCGTTGTGTGTGCTTATTCGCATTTGTGCTCAACTACAGCGTATGTTAATTTAGTTTTTTTTAACATGAACAGATAGGAGTTGAACTTCTCCATTTCTCCTCTAGTTGTCATCTTTTACTCTACTTATATCAAAACACCTAAATATTATAATACAAAAAGAAAAATACTGCAGTGATTATATCTTGCCTTCTTCCTTCAAAAGGCAAATTCGTGTCCTTTTTGCCTTGCTATCCATTTGAGCCATTAAAAGTCTTTGTAGTTTGACAACATTTCCATGAAGTAGACGTAAACTATTAACCCTTAATTCTTTCATCTAATAGGGAATACCTTGCCCTCAATGTATATGTGGCCCTGTGTTACTACAAGTTGGATTACTATGATGTGTCTCAAGAAGTTCTGGCTGTTTACCTTCAGCAAATTCCTGATAGTACCATCGCACTCAATCTTAAGGCCTGTAATCATTTTCGCCTTTACAACGGCAAAGCGGCTGAGGTAGTCATGGAAATTTGTTTTTAATTTACTTAATTTCCAGTTTGAATTACCCCGTTCTTTCTGGGTTATTCATGAAACTCTATTATCTGTAACTCTTGATTAATATCTCTTTGTTATTGCCAGTGTGATTCTATAAGAACCTAATTTATGAATATTTATCAGATATTCTGAAAAGAATGTTGACTTCTGAAATCTCTGTGTCTAATATATTGTAGATGATCTCTACCTAAATGCTTTACATTAACTTAAATATGTTAAAAACAAACGCTTCTGCTTCTTCCTCTAAAATATGTTTGTGGCTCTGTGGTTCAATGTCACTAACATGTAAATCTCATCAGAAACCTGGGATACCCATCACTCTCTTCTCTTTCATCTTCAATCTAATCATTCACCATTTCTTATCAGTTGTATGTCTTAGATATCTCTTTTTTTTAATTGATGTCGTAATAGTTTATAACATTGTGAGATTTCAGTTGTACATTATTATTTCTCAGTCACCATATAAATGGGCCCCTTCACCCCTTGTGCCCGCTCCCCAACTCCTTTCCCCCTGGTAACCACCAAACTGTTCTTTCTGTCCATGTGTTAGTTTATATTCCACATGTGAGTGAGTTCATATGGTGTTTGTCTTTCTCTGTCTGGCTTATTTCACTTAACATGATACCCTCTAGGTCCATCCATGTTATAAATGGGACAATTTTGTCTTTTTTATGGCTGAGTAGTATTCCATTTTGTGTGTGTGTGTGTGTGTGTGTGTGTGTGTGTGTGTGTGTATACGTATACACACTACATCTTCTTTATCCAATCTTCAGTTGAGGGACACTTGGGTTGCTTCCATGTCTTGGCTATAGTGAATAATGCTGCAATGAACATAGGGGTGCATAAGCCTCTTTGGATTGTTGATTTCAAGTTCTTTGGATAAATACCCAGAAGTGGGATAGCTGGATCATAAGGTATTTCTACTTTTAATTTTTTGAGGAATCTCCATACTGTTTTCCGTAGAGACTGCACCAGTTTGCATTCCCACCAGCAGTGAATGAGGGTTCCCTTTTCTCCACATCCTCTCCAACATTTGTTATTTTTTGTCTTGGTGATTATAGCCATTCTAATGGATGTAACGTGATATTTAACTGATAATTAGTGACGTTGAACATCTTTTCATGTGCCTATTGGCCATCTGTATATCTTCCTTGGAAAAATGTCTGTTCATATGTATGTCTTAGGTATCTCTTTTATCCATCCCCTCTTCTCCTTTGCCACTCTCCTAGTCCAGATGCTCCTCATCAATTGTTTCAGTTCTTTAAATAATTTTCCTGTCTCTAGTCTGGTTCTCTCAAGTCCAGCCAATGAGTTTGTTCCATACACCATACCCTCCGACTACATGCTATATACAACATTCTCATTTCTTTGAATGCCTTTCTCTGCTTGGTACACTTCAACCTCTCCTTTAAGGTTGCCCCAAGAGGCAGTAGTGGTAAACATTTTATAAATACTTAGAATTTGCTAACTTGTAGGCACTATGTAGAACACTTTATATCCATTATTAAGTTTCCATGATAATTCTGTACATAAATTCCGTTATAGCTCTCTTTTTGTAGGAAACCGAGAGTGCACAGGAGGCCATACATTATGACCTCATTTTATTTAACGTTAACAATGTACTTATATATACACACACATGTGCAAACACACATATACATACATATAGATATTAGTAGATATATAAATAGAGAGCATCTTCTATACTAAATCTATATACAGATTCAGATATATACATATCTGTATATATTTTATATATAGGTATTTTTAGGTTAACCCTATGAGAGAGCCATGCTTGGAAATTACTTCCTTGGCCGTCACTTTAGTTGATGTCAGAAGCCACCATAATTAAAATGTAAAATTTCTGCATGTGTCAGAGTTTTTAAATCCCACCCAAAAAACAGTTCCAGTTGGCATCATGCCACCAGAGGAGGGGGAGGAAAGAAACTGAAACCAGCAAATTAGCTATATCAAAGCAAAATTTATTGTGAAAATGTAATAGCAAGGAGCACTATTAACATGCTTCACGATGACAGGAGATTCAACTCCGGAGTAAAGCAGTAGTTAGTGGCTGGCAAGGAGGGGCGGGGTGGACAGCACGTGTCCGTAGCGTATGCCCAGACTCACTTTCCATGGCTTATGTCGATGAAGGTGGTCAGTTGCGGCAAAAGAGATGTCTGTCAGTTAAATTGCTTAGTATGCAACCGATCGGTCCATTTATGTGTTATGTAAAATACATTCTTGGGTATACTCATTTCAACTGAAGACTCCCTTGAGTCTGCCTAATTGGCTAGTTTCCAGCATCAGCAGTTTAATAGTAAACTAGGTTTGCAATTTGATCTGTCTAGAGTTTTCACCCTTTGGTAAGAACAAACAAAAGAAGTATCTCCTTGCCTTTCTACTTTGAGTCAGTCTTAGGAACTTTGCCAATTTTCATGTAAGGTCCAGCCTGTTAAATGTTCACATTTTGTCTGCACTATGTGCTCTTTCCATAGAATGATATGGGTAGTATGGTTAACCAGTATTCTGTAGGTGTAGCACTGTCTAAGTCAGGACAGCAAACTGCAACTTTCCATCTCCAAAAGGCGTGCTTTTCATTTGAAATTATGTCCATGCAGATTACGTACTGATTTTATAATGTACTCCAGCAATAGATGACTATGTCAGATGTACCCTAAGAAGCAGGGTTTTTTTTATAGCAATAGGATATAGTTTGTGTTTACTTATGATAATTTTATTAAACCATTTAAAATTAAGCATTCCTCTAGTAATTTGTATAATGGGCTCTATATTATATGATTAATTCTCTCCGTGAACACCAATAGCATTCTTCTCTTCTATAGTGAGCATACAATAATCTGTAATGATTCACTTAGTTCTTAGAGTACTTTGAATAACTTACCCAAGGTTATACAACTAAGAAGTGACAAATTCAGGTCTCAAACTCTTGTCTGTCTGACTCTGAAGCCCATAAACTTAACCACTAAAAGTTACTGCAAATTTATGTGTACTTTCCTCTTTGCTCTTATTTTATATATATATAATAATACAATTTCCAAATAATAAGCATGATGTTATATATATAACCAAATAATAAGTGTGATATATATATAATGCTTATATATCAAATATATATCATGCTTCTTGTTATATATAATTTATATATTATATATATACTCATGCTTGTTATTTGGTAGTTGTTTAATTATCTTTAATCTAGACAAGGTTATTGAGGGTTAAGACTGTGTCTTTTGACGTTTGTATTCCAGGACCTGGCACAATGCACACACAAAGTTGATGCCAACTAAGTATTGGTTGAATGAGAATTTTAAAGTATGACTAACAAATTAAGGGAGAATCACGTTTAAAGAAGGAGAGGTTCAAAAGAGGTCAATAAAGATGAAGATTGAGAAAAAGCCATTGAATTTCATAACTAAGATTTCCTACAATTTCCTCCTCTGATTAGGGTATCATTATTGGGGGTTGAAGCTAGACGGCAAGGAGATAAGGAATGAGTGAGTAATCACTTGAAGTGGGAATTGTCATAAAGGATATGGCAGAGGGATGGGAAATAGATGATGAAGAAATAGAAGCAGTGGATATAAGATGCTGGTGAAAGGAAGGAGAATGCTGGTTTCAGAGAAAAAAGAGATAAAAGAACTCTTTCCCCCAAACTGGGAAGTGATTACTTTAGTGATTAAGAGCAGGTGTTTTGAAATCAGATTCCAAATTCTGACCCTGGCTTACCAGCTGTGTGGCTTTCAGTGAACTATTTAACCTCCTTAAGCGTCATCTGCAAAATAGGGAAAGTAACAGTACTGACTTATTATAGGTTGCTCTGAAGATTAAATGATATGATGAATGTAAAATCCTTAACTTGATGTGCATAGTAAACTCTCAGTAAATATCAGCACTTATCAAAAATTCTGTAGGCAGAAACATAGTCATATTTATCTTTTTCTTTTTGTTTAGTGCCTTCTGTATCTTTTTAAAGATAATTATTTAAGAAATGATTTCCTAGCCTAAGATCATATTCTCTGATATTATCTTCTTAAAGGCTTATTGTTTTGCCTTTTTCAAATCCAAATTATCTCTAATTATATTATTTTTAAAAGATTTAATTTCTCAATTAAATTAGATTGAAAACACAAAACCCTAACATATGTTTTAAATATAAGGACACAGAAAATTTGAATGTAAACACGTATGTTTCATGCAGAATATTCCTTACATGGTTTCTATCATTGGTGTCATGCTTTGAGAAAGGTCATTTCACTCTAACATAGATAGATAAGATGACCTACATCTTCTGTTTATAGTTTTATTTTTTAACAGATTTATTGAGATATAACCAACATACCATACAATACACTCTTTTAAAGTATACAATTCAGTGGGTTTTAGTATATTCACTGCTGTGTGCAGTCATCACCACAGTCAATTTTAGAATATTTCCATTACCTCAAAAAGAAACCCCATAGCCCTTAGCTATCAACCCTTATTCCCTCAGCCCCAAGCAACTACTTTCTGTCTCTCTAGATTTTCCTATTCTGGATATTTCATCTAAAAGGAATCATATAATATGTGATCTTTTATGACTGATTTCTTTTACTTAGCATAATGTTTATAATGTTTATCTTGTTGTAGCGAGTGTTAGTACTGCATTCATTTTTATGACCAAATAATATTCCATTATAAGCATATATGCCACATTTTATTTTCCCATGCATCACCTGATGAACATGTGGGTTGTTTCTGCCTCGGCTTAGTATGAATAATGCGGCTATAAACATTTGTTTACATGTTTTTGCACATGTTTTGGACATGTTTTCATTTCTCTTGGGTATAAACCTATGAGTAGAATTGCTAGGTCATACGGTAACCTTATATTTAATTGAGAACTGCCAGGCTGTTTTCCAAAGTAGCAGCACCAGTTTACATTCCCACCAGCAGTGTATAAGAGTTTCAGTTTCTCTACATCCTTGCCAACAGCTGTTCTTATCCGACTTTTTTATTCTAGCCGTCTCTGGCTGTGAAGTGGAATCTCATTGTGGTTTTGATTTGCATTTCCCTGATGACTAATGATGTTGAACATCTTTTCATGTGCAGTGAGTGCTGCTTTAAATTCTGTCCCTAGGCTTCTCACTTTCGTCACCCTTAGTCCCAGCTAGCCCTGCCTGAGACCAAAACTATCCTTGTAATACTAAAAGATTTTGTCTTTTCACTTTCATTTGCTCAAGTGTGCAGTGAAGTTCTCCAGAGACAACGTGATTTCAGAATAGATCAAATGCAGATACAGATATGCCAATGTAGTTGTCCTCTGTTAAGCCAGACATTGAAGAGATTTGCAAAAATGTAAAACAGTACCACTCTTCTCACTAAATTTTTGTTTTGGTAAATACAGTTTGTTAAAATTAAAAATATTTATGTTAATGTGTAGTGGGTTTATTATTTTTGATTAATTGAATCCTTAAAAATTTCTGTTTTAATTTCTAATATAATAAATATTGATGGCTATAACCCACATAAACAAAAGCTCTTTGAGATCCTTAATAATTTTTAAGATTATAAACGGGGTCTTGAGATCAAAAAGCTTGAAAACTACTAATCTATCCTAATATAACCCAACAGTTTGGAATTGCTGCTGTGGAAAAGAGGAGAGATTAATGAAAGGATTGCTGAGCAGATGTGCATTCCCATATGAGATCAGGTAGAACAAGTTTATAGTAGTGAGAACAGTCAAGAATTTACTTATTTATCCAGAAAAGCTTAGCTAACTACTGATAGAAGTAGAAAAAGGAGGAGAGGAGGATTACTCAAAATTATAGATTGGCAAGGTAGGAATAGCGGAAAGCTGAGAAAGGGGGTAAGTGAGTCTACGGTATTAATGGAGATACTGGAAATGGCTAACCATTTGTTCTAAGATGAGTTAAGGGGGCGAGAGAATACAGAAGAGATCTGATAGGTCTAATGAATGATAAAACAGAGAGGAGAAGGTATTTTAATTGTGTTATATAAATAAAGTCCAATTCAGCAGGAAGGAGATACTGTCAGAATTCAGGATATAAGTGGAATGGTCAGATTGAAGAATCAATCTCAGTTGTTAAAAGTTTAGCTCCTTTATCACGTTTGGCTCTGAAAGAAAAGACTAACTCTAGGAGTCTTCCGACTTGAGTTCACCAGTTTCAAACTTGCTTAGTGTAAGGTTCAAGTCATTTAATGTCTATCAGCCTCAATGTTCTCATCTGTAAAATGAGGATAATAATAATTACACTGACTGTTTCTTAGAGTCCTGAGGAACAAATGAAATAGTATGATAAATTCTTTGTAAACTGTAAAACGCTGTATAAATATGTGGTGTAAGAACTATACACTTGTTATTTTTTTTCTATTCTTTTTTTTTATTGTGAAATTTTTGTTGTACGTTATTGTTTATCAGTCACCACATATATACACTTGTTATTTTAATAAGCTTTTCCTTTATCCATTTCAGGCAGAGCTCAAAAGCTTGATGGACAATGCTTCTTCCACCTTTGAATTTGCTAAAGAACTCATCAAGCACAATCTGGTGAATAATAGTTTTCCATCTTGACTGATTTGAGTCCTACCCTACTTTGGTACATCACAGCAGTTAGAAAGATGAATGAAGGGAGATATCACAACAGATATTTCTCTACTCAAGTGAACTCCTCCTAGCCGTGGAGGAGAGAAAAGCAGCGTAGCATAATCAGATCCTTTCCTCAAGGAAATCCATATTGGGAGGGCATTTAGAAAGAAGTACAAGGTAGTGTAGATCCAAGAGTTCATTCTGTTGGCGAAGACAAAGGAACATATCCTTGTGGGTTAGAGCAAATGGGAAGGATTTTCTGGTGAGAGTAAAACCTGAGCTCATCTTTGGAGGATGGCTGAGATTTAGAGGGTGCATTCGAGGCAAGGGCATGGAGTTAGAACGAGGATGACATATATGAAAGGTTGCGAGCAGATTGAGCTTACTAGAACAGAAAGTTTGCACTGGGACATAGTGAAAAGTAAAGTTTTACTTGGTAAAAAAGGGGGTGGTTAGGTTTAGGGCTGGATTGTGATAGCCATTGCTAAAAAAATCCAGATTCAGATTAAGTTTGATTCTATTGACCATGCAATACAGTGGTTGCAGGGCAGCTGTTTTCAACTCAGACACTTGGGGACATTGGGCAAATTATTCAATATTGCTGAGTTTCAGATTCTTCATCTAAAAATGGTGATATTAACTACACCTTTTCCTTCTGATTTCTCTATTTCTTCTTTGGCACCAATTCTCCTAATACACATGCTGAAAACCATAGCTGTCTTAGACTCTTTCCTCTCCTTTATCTCTGATATCTGTTGGGTCAGTTTAATCCTATTAATTCTTTCTTGGCAATGTCTTACATTTATTCCATTCCTTCTCTAATTCAGGCCTCCATCACAGGTATAGTTTTCTTTGGATAGTTTCTGTTATGAGCTTCTGCCTCTGTTTACTTCTAATCTAATTTATAAATTAAAGCCAGGTTAATTTTTGTGGGGAATGATGTGTTAGAGATAGTAGTCTGGAAATTAAACTTGGAGACAGATCAAGACTGGAGAATAGGTTTAGGAGTTTTCATAAGAGAAGTGATGGCTGAAGTCCTGACAACTAAATGTGGAAGAACAGGTTAAAAACAGAGAAAAATATGGTTCCAAGAGCGCATCTGTATTTTAGGGGCTGGAGGAAGGAGAAGAAGCAAATAAGACAGGAAAGGGCAGGCAAGAAAGAGCACCTAGATAATGGAATGTCATTTACAACTGCACATGTTAATCATCTGGGAGGTTTTTCACAATGGTGATGCATGGACTCCACCCTCCAGAGATTCTTATATAATGGTTGGGCTAGGGCTCAGCTATCAGTATTTTTCATAAAAACTTCCCAGGTGGATATAATACACAGCCAGAGTAAAGAACCACTATATGTATATGTGATTGGAAAGAGCATATCAGCTAGTAAATAGGTATTATTTGGAGAGTTGGATTAAAGAGAGAAGCAAGAATATGGAAATTTTCCTTTTCCCTTTTGTGATACTGTATGTAAGTTGTTTTTCCAATGAGCGCATGTTACTTTTATAGTTTAAAACAAAGCCTGAAAAATATTGAGCAATATAAACGGTTGTTATGAGCATTGACTTTTGCAGTCAGACTTGAGGTCAAAATCAAGCTACACTGTATACTAGCCTTGTAACTTTAGGTAAGTCACTTAACATTGCTGAGTCTCAGTGTTCTCGTATGTAGAACAGGAGAAATTACAGTCCCTACCTTATTTTCTTGTGAAGATTAAATGAGGTAACGTGTATAAGGTACATTACACAGTATCTAGCATACAGTAAGCATTTCATAAACAGTGCTGTTGTTGTCATGCTGTGGCCATCAGTGTCAAAACTACAGACACATCATGGAGCAAGAGGACAGAAAAGTACATTGAATTTGGTTAAAGGGGTTAATTTGTGACTTGTGAGAGTAAGTTTACCAGTGTGCTGAGAGCGAAAGCCAGTTTTCTGAGCGGTTAAAGAGTGAGAGGATGAGAAAAAAGTTGAAGCAGTAAGCCACATACTTTTGAAGTGTGGCTTTGAGAGAAAGAAGAAAAAGAGGGCACTATCCAGAGGGAACAATGGCACCAAGTGGAAGATTTTCAAGAGAGCGAAAACCCTTGTGTATGTTTGAAGTTGAGAAGTAGGACCAGGACTAATGAAGATAGAATGATTAATTAATGGAGAAACAAGATCCAGATGGAGTTAGAAGTCATGAGATTAAGAAGACAAGTAAAAGAATTAATCTTGGCAAAAGAAGGGAACATCTCAGACAAGGAGGAACCAAAAAAGATGACCACACGGCTATTTTGAGATAGAAAGAAGAGATTAGGTAGTGTATGCCTGATAGCCTTGATTTCTGTATATTTATCTGTGAAACAGCTTGCTGTGTGCCAGACACTGTGCTGGGCTCTGAGCACACAGCAGGGTGCAAAACTGTCCTTTCACGGATGGAGTTTTTGTTTTAGCTATTCTCTATAGCATTTATCGTCACATGACAACATACTTATATGTTCGCTGTTTGAAGGTCCCTCCCCACTTGAATACAGCCGCTATAGTGACAGGGGAGTGACTTGTTCCTGCTATAACCCTGGTGCTTATTAAATACCAGGCATATGGTAGGTGCTAGTGACTATTTACTGAATGAGTTAATAATACCATCCGCGTACCACACATTTAGCTCACTTTAACTCATTTAATCTTCATAATAATCCTGAAAGATAGACGTTACTAATGCCATTTAGATGTGAGGAAACAGGCTCAGATAGGTTATATAAATTCCTTCTTGGAGTTTTTGGTGTAGAATATCTGTCTAGAAAAAGTTTCATTAATTATTGGGTACTTGAAGAGTTTTCTGCAGTTCTTATGAAGAGAAAAGGAAATGTATGCAATAGGGTTACGCCTTTATTCTGTTTCTTATTGTTATTTAGATAGTGGCTTTCGTTCAGTAAGGTCAAGGTCATGTGTATATAGAGAGCTTAAAAATATATTCATCCTAATAAGTGGCAGCTCCTTAAAAGATTTCCAGCAGTAAATATATTCATACTTATTGCCATGATAATAGAGTTTCTCTGTCTTTAGGTTGTTTTCCGAGGAGGTGAAGGGGCTTTGCAGGTTTTGCCCCCCCTGGTTGATGTCATTCCTGAAGCTAGGCTGAACTTGGTGATTTACTACCTTCGTCAAGGTGAGAAAAATTTGTCTTGGTCTTGCTTATAACAAGATATTTTAGAACATTTACTCTCTAATTGAACTATTTTCTTAACCTTTTTTTATTGATGTCTTAATAGATTATAACATTGTGAAATTTTAGTTGTACATTACTGTTTGTCAGTCACCATATAAATGCCTCCCTTCACCCCTTGTGCCCACCCCCGACCCCCTTGCCCCTGGTAACTACCATACACTTCTCTCTGTCCGTGTATTGGTTTATATTCCACATATGAGTGAAATCATGCAGTGTTTTTCTTTCTCTCTCTGGCTTATTTTACTTAATGTAATACTCCCCAGGTCCATTCATGTTGTTGCAAATGGGACGATTTTGTTTTTTTTTATGGCTGAGTAGTATTCCATCGTGTATATATACCACATCTTCTTTATCCAGTCATCAGTCGAGGGATACTTGGGTTGCTTCCACTTCTTGGCTGTAGTGAATAATGCTGCAATGAACGTAGGGGTGCATAAGCCTCTTTGGATTGTTGATTTCAGGTTCGTTGATAGATTCCCAATAGTGGGATAGCTGGATCATAGGGTATTTCTATTTTTAATTTTTTGAGGAATCTCCATACTGTTTTCCATAGAGGCTTCACCAGTTTGCATTCCCACTTGCAGTGAATGAGGGTTTCTGTTTCTCCACAACCTCTCCAACATTTGTTGTTTTTTGTCTTGGTGATTATAGCCATTCTAACGGGTGTAAGGTGATATCTTAGTGTTGTTTTGACTTGCATTTCCCTGATGATTACTGATGTTGAGCATCTTTTCATATGCCTATTGGCAATCTGTATATCTTCCTTGGGAAAGTATCTGTTCATATCTTCTGCCCATTTTTTGATTGGGTTGTTTAGTTTTTTTGTTGTTTAGTTGTATGAGTTCTTTATATATTATGGAGATTAACCCCTTGTTGGATATATGATTTGCAAATATCTTTTCTCTGCTGGTGGGTTGTCTGTTCATTTTGAGCCTGGTTTCATTTGCCTTGTAGAAGCTCTTTATTTTTTTTTGTTTTTATTTATTTATTTATTTATTTGTGAGGAAGATCAGCCCTGAGCTAACATCCATGCTAATCCTCCTCTTTTTGCTGAGGAAGACCGGCTCTGAGCTAACATCTATTGCCAATCCTCCTCCTTTTGTTTTTTCTTCCCCAAAGCCCCAGTAGATAGTTCTATGTCGTAGTTGCACATCCTTCTAGTTGCTGTATGTGGGACGTGGCCTCAGCATGGCAGGAGAAGCGGTGCATCGGTGCGCACCTGGGATCTGAACCCAGGCCGCCAGTAGTGGACTGTGCACACTTAACCGCTAAGCCAGGGGGCCGGCCCCTGTAGAAGCTCTTTAATCTGATGAAGTCCCACTTGTTTATTTTTTTTGTTAGTTTCCCTTGTCTGAGTAGACATGGTATCTGAAAAGACTCCTTTATGACCAATGTCAAACAATGTATTGCCTATATTTTCTTCTAGGAGTTTTGTAGTTTCAGGTCTCACCTTTAGGTCTTTGATCCATTTTGAGTTAATTTTTGTGAATGGTGAAAGCAGATGGTCTACTTTCATTCTTTTTCATGTGGCTGTCCCGTTTTCCCAGCACCGTTTATTGAAGAGACTTTCCTTTCTCCATTGTGTTCTTAGCTCCTTTGTCGAAGATTAGCTGTCCGTAGATGTGTGGTTTTATTTCTGGGCTTTCAATTCTGTTCCATTGATCTGTGTGTTTGTTTTTGTACCAGTACCATGCTGTTTTGATTACTATTGCTTTGTATTATGTTTTGAAGTCAGGGATTGTGATGCCTCCAGCTTTGTTCTTTTTTCTCAGGATTGCTTTAGCTATTAGGGGTCTTTTGTTGCCCCATATGAATTTTAGTATTCTTTGTATATTTCCGTGAAGAATGTCATTGGGATTCTGATTGGGATTGCATTGAATCTGTAGATTGCTTTAAGTAATATAGACATTTTTAGCTGTGCTTATTCTTCCAATCCATGTGCATGGGATATCTTTCCATTTCTTTCAATGATGTCTTATAGTTTTCATTGTATAGGTCTTTCATCTCCTTGGTTAGATTTATTCCTAGATATTTTATTCTTTTTGTTGCTATTGTAAATGGAATTATCTTTTTGAATTCTCTTTCTGTTAGTTCATTATTAGCATACAGAAATGCAACTGATTTTTGTAAGTTGATTTTGTATCCTGCAACTTTGATGTAATTGTTGATTATTTCTAATAGTTTTCCACTGGATTCTTTAGGGTTTGCTATATATAAAATCATGTCATCTGCAAATAGCGAGAGTTTCACTTCTTCGTTGCCTATTTGGATTCCTTTTATTCCTTTTTCTTGCCTAATTGCTCTGGCCAAAACCTCAAGTACTATGTTGAATAAGAGTGGTGAGAGTGGGCAGCCTTGTCTTGTTCCTGTTCTCAGAGGAATGGCTTTCAGACTTTCCCTGTTGAGTATGATGATGGCTGTGGGTTTGTCATATATGGCCTTTATTATGTTGAGGTACTTTCCTTCTATACCCATTTTGTTGAGAGTTTTTATCATAAACGGATGTTGGCTCTTGTCAAATGCCTTCTCTGCATCTATTGAGATGATCATGTGGTTTTTATTCATTGTTTTGGTAATGTGGTGTATCACATTGATTGATTTGTGGATGTTGAACCATCCCTGTGTCCCTGGTATAAATCCCACTTGCTCATGGTGTATGATGTTTTTAACATATTGCTGTATTTGGTTTGCCAATATTTTGTTGAGTATTTTTGCATCTATGTTCATCAGCTATATTGACCTGTAGTTTTTCTTCTTTATATTGTCCTTGTCTGGCTTTGGTATCAGGGTCATGTTGGCCTCGTAGAATATGTTAGGAAGTGTTCCATCTTCCTCTATTTTTTGGAATAGTTTGAGAAGATAGGTATTAAATCTTCTTTGAATGTTTGGTAAAATTCTCTGGAGAAGCCATCTGGTCCTGGAC